GTCCAGGATAACTTTAATTATTTGTGAGCTGCTGAACAGTGAAAGTGGAGCGGCATTGATTGAGGCAGGTAACAATTGATTCTGCCTATTACATAGTCTGAATTTCTTCATCCTGTAGAATCTGCCTACCCTCCTCCTGTGGTCAGAGATAAGACGCACCAGTATTGTGCTTGCTTAATCTGTGTGACTGGGTTTGTCTGTGCTGAAATTGATGTTGCTTTTCATTTTGTATTCGCTAAGTTTGTTTGGGTTGCGGGTGCTTCTTTCCTCCTTTGCTTTGCTCGGATTACATTTCAGCAATAAAAGCAATATGACATCATTATGCTCTTCATAGATACACAGTTGGGCTCAAAAAGCTAAACTCAGTGTGTAATAATTCATTCTTTTCTATTGAATTCATAGAAGTGATGTTTGTTTTCACTGTTACGTGTTCAACTTCTTTAAGAATGTGATACATATTGTAGATATTAGTGTATACTGAATATGACTACGGAGAGTGACTAATTTATTCCCAGAGGACAATAGACTGAAGTATAATGGTTTGTTTGCTTTTGAGTGTAAATATATTGTAATATAGTATTTCCTACTGAAAAATATTTTGAAATATATATAGTCCTAAATGATGTGTTACAGAATATAAACAGGTCGGAACTTTCAGATTCAGTGTTTGAGTAAGTCTTTACTAATGCTGTTTAAAATACATGCTTTGTGGTGATCGGTGCTATCCTGACTTGGGCTTCTGTTCCGTTTTTCTTTGGTATGGATAGAAACATGGAGATGGTCAGCAGTGTTAGATAAGACTGTGAATCCAAGACTCACTCTCCTTTATGTCTTCTCCTTTGAAGAAGAAAAGTGTCTGACTGACTTCTAACCGAGGTCCTTTTAGATAAACTTTAAAAATAATGTCAAAGCAAATCCAAGTTGGTAAACAAATTGCCAGTATTTGTTGTTACTATATATTTAAAAGATATATTTTAAAGCCTTAAAACTTCTAACTGAAGTGTGTGAAGCAGGAAGGAGCATCACTGGGTTTGAGACATGAAAGCTTGGTTTGTCTTAAGACTGATTGTTCGTTCCCATGATTTAATATGCTGTGACCCTCGGTCAGGTAAGCATCAGCGAGTAGCCACATTCATCCAATACATCTTTTATTGTAAAAACTGTGCTCCGTAGTGTCAGGCTTCTTAGCACTTGAACATGCTTTATTAAGCAGCTCACGGTCACCATTATTTCTCAGGTTTCCTTCTGTGGTTGTGTCTGTCTGGAATGTATGTTCTTGTAATTTAGCATATGGGGTAATTACAAGACATTTCTCTTCCCATCTCGACTTGAATTTCCTTCATGATGGTTAGAGGCAGGGTATATATAAAAAATTTTCAAAAATCTTAATGTTAACATTTCTTGATTATGTCAAAATTATTTGCTGACCATAGCTTATTTGATTCACTAGAAATGCCTTAAAATATCCCTTTCTATATTGACTTTTATATGTTCTTTAGAGGAGCTGAAATTTTGAGGGCTTTTTATCTTTTTTAAACCTTTTATAATTCAACTTGAAAGTTACTTAAAAATCTTTATTTTTTTTTTCACTGTGAAGAATAGAAAATCGAAATGAAACCCACACCAAACCCCACCAGTGCATCTAAATCAATAAAACCATAGATGGCTGTTAGGAAAAACAAAGCTACGAGCTGTGTCCCTTTAACACCTATGACGTGTCTGCTCAATCTGCTGCACAGTGTCCACTGATGAAAATGTACTGGTTGTATGGCTGACACCCTAACTGCTATTAAACTCAAGTTTGAGTTGAGCCAACTACAGATCAGAGAAAAAAACCTCGATGCTTATAATCAGTCATCTTAAATGCAATTTGTTTTCTCTGGTCCTTTTCAAAGAAAGGAACGAAGGCTCCTCAGGCTGCAGGAAAGATTCACACAGATTTTGAAAAGGGATTCATTATGGCTGAAGTCATGAAATACGAAGACTTTAAAGAGGAGGGTTCTGAAAATGCAGTCAAGGTAAGGAATGACTTTTTTACTTGCAAATTTCATAATTTTAGCACTCATGTGACACCCTTGATAAATTACAGCTGTTTTAACTGTGTGCTGCTAGCCTGTTAGGATCCCATTGTCCCCTGATGAGGGGCTGCCCATGTGCTCTCAGGTCAGTTTTAGAGAGCTGTATGGAGGGGTTTGTTTGTGGGTTTGCTTTTCTCTAACTGAAAATAAAAAGAGACGTTTAAGTCACATTAAAAAAAAAAAAAGAAAGAATTTGTTCACTGGTAGCTAATGAAAAAGTCATAGTAATCATTTGAGTATATGAACTAGAAATAAACACCTTTGGTTAAGTCAAGGAAACAGATAATGGTGCCTAGTCAAATAAACCTGCTGAACCCGCTGAACCTGCTGAATGATACTGAAACTTCATGGGTTTCTTTTTTTCTTTTTTTCTTTTTCTGGATCTTTGGGAATTTGATTTGCTTTTTCAACACTAGAGGGCAGGTCCAAAATTGTGCTTTCTTTTAGCTAATAACTATAATTTGATTTACAGACACAGATAGAGAAGCAGTGTTAAATATGAGTACTAAGCAAGTTTTAATATAAGTTCTATTGCAAATTCATTTTCCTAGCTTGTTTGATTCTACACAAAGAAACGTATTAATATCCAATAAGTAGGTAGTTCAACTAACTAAAGTTGACCTTGTAGGTAGCTGCTTTAATTTAATTTGAAGACTGTCATAGAAAATGTTGAATGATTTAAATAGGACTCTTATGTTGACTGTTTCATAATTTGAAAGGAATGTGAAAGATATTTCAAGTTTGGTATATTCTTACCAGTATTATTAGAATACTCATATCAAACAGCATGGTTTTAATGGGACTCTTGGAACCTTAGAAGCAGGAAGGGAAAAATCTTCATATAAGTGATTCAGTATTGAAAGCCATTTTGGATTTACAAAAAAAAAAAAAAAAAAGATTCAGTATTGAAAGCCATTTTGGATTTACAAAAAAAAAAAAAAAAAAGAGTAAGTTACAGTTTATAACTAAACAAAGCCATTAATTTTATTGGTGTCATCTGTATTGATATAGATAAGTATGTAAATATTGATGGTGAATTTTGTCAAGAATACTAATTAGACTTGAAGAATATCTGATTTTTTTTCTACATGTTATATCACGTTAGCATATTTCTTTTCATACAAAAGATTTAAATGAGGATATTTTCCCTTTCTAAAATTCAAGATATAAGCTTCCTTTTCATACTTACATATGCTAAGTTGATTTTTACCAGTCCTTAGTAGATTTTTTGTTATAATAAACTTAGATAACGTGAATCGTGACTACTTTAACAATTCAGAAACTATAATACACAGTGCAATGATATTTCCTGCTTATAATATGAGTAAGGCTGAGTGCTTTATATCATAAATAGGGAAAGGTGCATCTGGCTTTTCCACCTAGAATATCACTAAATATCTTGTGGGTTTTTAACTTCCAAAACTAACATTTAAAATTGTGAACTCTGACTAAATGAAAGATTTATGAGCTGCTTTATACTCCGTATTCAACAGTGTTCACTTGTACATGACAAGAAGTTTGAGCTTGAGAACACAACTGTGCGTGTGTGTTCGTGTGTGTGTGTGTGTGTGTGTGTGTGTGTGTGTGTGTGTGTGTTTCTACCACCGGTGCAGCATAGCTAATTCAGTGCAGTGCTGTGAACTATATACTGAATAGCTCTGTGGGCTTTGTAGTCTACAGGGATATCACACTATTAGCAATCATATCTGCTTAGGCAAAGCTGCCTTCTACAGATGGCCGCTTTCAAGTGCAAATGAACTGCTTAGACGTGTCTTGTTTAATACATACTCAAGACTCACAAATGGGTATTGATTTTTTTTTCAACCAGTGTTTCTGATAGCAGTGGAAATGGATTAAATGGTCTCTAGAGAATTTAAAGAAACACTGTCACTATTAATAGTAAACTTGAGTGTAACAAAGTATATAAACTTACACTAATATGTCGTGTCAATATGTATTTCATTTAACTTGTCTGTATAGTTTAATAATAGTAGGCCTTAGGTTCTAGAAATACGTAGCATATGGCTTTCAGTACATCACATCTTTACAAAAATCATGTGAATATTTAGTTATATCTTTTAGAATGATAAAGCACACCATCTTTTTAAAGCTAAACTTCATGTTAATAGCATATTTGTTACTAGTAGGCAAAATTCTTTGTATAGTGCACTATCAAAAATATGCTCATGAGGGCTTTTCAGTCTGGTTTGTTGATTTTAAACCTCAGATGTATGATCTTTGTTAGTGTTTTTAACTACTGATTAATATAATTCCACTTGGCTTTGAACTTTTAGTATTGACAACAGGAAGTAGTAATCTTACATTGGACAAAGTTTTCATGTTCTCAAGAAATTCTAGCAGAAGGAAAACACTTGAGAATTTTTTCCAAAAAATCCTCAGGTCCCCATTGAGTAGTTGGTGCTGGGGTCGCAGGAGACTGCTAATATGTGAGTGTCGAGTGTGGGCACTGAGGAGCCCGCATTGTGTCCTGGGCCACGGGATGAACCTGCTTTGTTGTGTGCAGTGACCAAGAGCATGTCTGGATCTGCATACCGGCAGGTGGAATCAGGTGCTTTGTGGACTGGTCTACAAGTGGAAGAATATCTGTCTGCAGTTCCAACCTGTTAGAGTGTGCTTGTCACGACACTGTTAGTAAACTTCTGAGTTAGTGTTCCGAATGCACACTTGTTCAGCACTGTGGTCAAGATCAAACTGGGCCACGAGAAATTCACATATATGTGCCACAATTGAGCACAGTGTTTCTTAGAGCAAACTGTCTCTAAGATGTCACCATGGTCACCAAAGAATTCTTTAACCCAACAAAGCACTTGTAGCTTTTTTCTACCTCCTTTGATGGGTTTTCTTAGAGTGACTTGCTGATTTTTACAGACACATCAGAAATGTACCATAAACAACATGTAATGAAACTTAATGATATCGGTATAATTGCATTTATGTATCAGCAGTGACTGAGAATCCATTATGTACATGCATATGTGGAAATGTAGTCCTGCCGTAGGTCTGCTTTTCTTTTCATTAGAACTTGTGTGCATTCCCATATTCTCTCTCTTCTTCTTCATCCTTTTTTTAACATGACCCACAGAGCATTGCTTTGCATTGTTTTTCCTGTGTATTTAGTTGTAAGTGATAAGCCATTTCCTCTTGTTTGTTCTCTTTGCAGGCTGCTGGAAAATACAGACAACAAGGCAGAAATTATATTGTTGAAGATGGAGATATTATCTTCTTCAAATTTAATACACCTCAGCAACCAAAAAAGAAATAAAGTTTAGTTATTGCTCAGATAAACATACTTCTAAAATGCATATATTGGGTTTTGGGGTTTTGTTTTTTAAATTAAAGTTTCTGAAATCTAAAGAGACAAAGTTAGAAGTAGAAATCTTCTACAAACAAATTATTTTTATTTGTTTTTAAATTATAAAATACTGTGTACCTTCAATGAAATTCGAGTTACTAAACGTGAACAGCTTTGCTTTTCATGTGATTAAGACCCTACTTCAGATTGTAGAAGCTTTTCAAGAACCATATTACTCTCATGATACTCCATTAATCTCCATCATGTATGCCAGGCCTGACACATTTGACAGTGAGGACAATGTGGCTTGCTCCTTTTTGAATCTACAGATAATGCATGTTTTACAGTACTCCAGATGTCTACACTCAATAAAACATTTGACAAAACCAGCCTTGGTCTGTTTGGGGATGTCTGTATTGACTGGCTGTGGTGTGTTGAATGCGATACGGCACCTGCTCACTGCTGATTACAGAATTTAAGGCGTGTGTGTGCTGCAGCCACTGGCAGTGTGGGGCAGCTGCATTGTATCTGAAAAGTGAGTCTTTCGTGGGAATTAGAAGAATAAGATACCAGGGACTGTCTCAAAAAATTAATTAATCTGTAGATGGACATTTATTGAAAGATGATAGCGGTGATATTTCAAAGGTTACAACATAGGTGACTCCAACCAGAAAGAAAATCATTTTGTTTCAACACTAGTGAATTTTGTTTGCTGTTATTGTTCTAACCAAATGGAAGGCATCTTTATTTTCACTTTTCTTTAAAATTATTAAATTTTAAAAATCTGACATTTCGTTTCTGAGGGGTTGCATTTTTATTTCAATTCAGATTCATACACTGGTTTAAAAACTACTGAGAAACAATTCAGCTTTAATCATTTTTATCCTTCACACTTGCTGTTGAAGTATTTGCAGCTTAGTTACCTGGAAATCATTTGCCATCTCGCCCTTTTAAGGCAGCCTCCACTCTGCCCGCCCTGAGTGCCCCTCTGTGCTCCAAGTGCAAGAGGAGCCATTTCCAAGAAATGAAGGCTCAGACCCAGCTCAGCCTCTTTCTTACTGTAGGAGTTTGTTATGTAGAAGTATGGCGCACAGAGGGGCAGGAGGAGTGTTTCTTAGGGAGATTAGGCTGCCCTGAGGAAAGCAGATGCAGTTACCTGGCATGTAACATAAGCCTGTAATCCCCGCACTCAGGAGACTGAGGCAGGAGGATGGTGAGGTGAGTTCAGGGCCCACTTGAGCCACATAATGAGAACGTGCCTCAAAAAACAGACTGAAGCTGCACGTGGTAGCCCATAATCTCAGCATTTGGGAGGATGGGTCGAACAGCTACATAGTGAAGTTCTGGGCAAACTTAGGCTAGAGCATACGATCCTGTCTTGAAAATAATCAGTCAGTAAATAAGATAGTTCAGTGGAGTGTGAATATAACTTAGAAACTGGTGACTGCAGCATGAAACAAAACTGCAGTGGTGTTGGCCATGCTTGCTGTGAGTTCTTACTGGGTCTGCATTTAGACTACCGTGGCTCAGCAACTATCGGGCATTTTGGTAACATAAAGAAATCAAATGCCTTACTTCCGACCATCACAGTAACCTGCATAGATGTGTTTAAAAGCTTGAAGATGGCCAGGCAGTGGTGGCCATGCCTTTAATCCCAGCACTCGGGAGGCAGAGCCAGGTGGATCTCTGTGAGCTCGAGGCCAGCCTGGTCTACAGAGCAAGATCCAGGACAGGCACCAAACTAAACAGAGAAACCCTGTCTCGAAAACAACAACAACAACAAAAAAAGCTTGAAGATGATCAGACTCAGCTTTCTAACTTCTGATGTGGTGGTTGCACACCGTGGGGAAAACCAGTAACAGGAGAAAGGAGACTTTTGAGGTAGCTACATTTGTTAGGGCAGAAATTAGATGCTAAAAATGTGTAATGTACAGAATTGAATTTTCTACATAAGTTTAGAATTCTAGGAACTGTTGCCTGTGGATAAAAAGGTATCAGAAATGTTTTTAGTGATATAGATGTATAAAATATAGTTTGTATTTTTAAAATTTTAGGTAATGTTTTTGCACCTGTCTAGCTTTATCTCAAACAAGTTTGTACCCGGGAGATTGATTTGTGCCAGAAGCTTGGGAAATGTTTTGAGCCTTCCGCTGGATTGTCTTGTGTGGCCTTTGCGACTTTCACATTGCACTGGGCACGGCTTGGATGGGAACCAGGGCTGGTGAAGAAGCCAAGTTCTCCTATGGTTCATGACTCATTTAATTGTGAATAAAGGTTTTGTTCATGTATAATTCGCCAGCACCATGCTGGAGTAAGTCTTCCCCCAAATGCTTTATCAACTTCCGGTATTAGAATAACGCCTGGCTGATCACTGTTAGCCATCCCTGCCAGGGTGTCAATACTCGGGTTATGACTCTGCCTCAGACAGCCCGTGTCAGAGGGCGGGATCTCTTTGTGCCTCGTGTTTCCTAGCAGTCTGCTTTATTTAACAGTTTTCACAGACCCTTCAGACATGCTGGATCTTATGGCTGACTCCTTAAATTGGAAAAATTGATCTTGACACGTTTTTAAGCTTGTAGAAACACAATATGCTAAAATAGGGTTTGGCTTTGGGGTGGTTTTTGGCTCCCTACAATTGTCTGGGGACCCTTATAAAAACTGGCAGCTCGGGGATGTCAAAATGGCCTAGAGGGTAAGACCAATTGCCCAACCTGACAACCCGAGTTCAGTCCTTGGGACCCTATGATAGAAGGGAAGACCCAACTACTTACTGTAAGCTGTCCTCTGGTCTCTACGTGCATGCTCACACACACACACACACACACACACACACACACACACACACAATGAATGAAGATTAATTTTTAAAAATTGTATTGACGATTCTTTCTGGGTTAGGTGGTGCACACATGTTAGGCCAGCCTGGGCTCCAGAATAAGAACCTGTCTCAAGAGCAAAAATTACTGACAGTTCTTGAATTGCCTTCAGGGCCTGTAAACACCCTGAATCACTTACAAGTGTGTACCTCAGTGAAAGCCCCATGTTAGTTGATTGAAAACTGAGGACTCACCACACACAAACGCACGCACACAGGAGCGCATCTCAGAACGTGGTGTGGTCCTTGGCCTCGTAGGGCTAAGGAAGCCAGGTTAGGTTTGTATCTTAGCCGCCTGTGCGGCTTCCAACTTGTGTGAACTTGATTAGACAAGTTACTTGAGCAGTCTGAGTCAATGTGGGCCTTTAGGGAGGGTTGAATTTAGACAGAAGTGACAAAAATCCCTCCGCACCTAGCAGCTCTGATGTACGGAATACCTTCTTGTGTCCACATCCACTCAACAGACACAATTATGCAACAGAAAGTTGCTGGTGCTAGTAACGTTGGGAGAGAAGTGGATGTTCTCTACTAAAGATACATTTGTCAGCCCGGCAGGGGCGGCGCACGCCTGTAATCCCGGCACTTGGGAGGCAGAGGCAGGCAGATCTCTGTGAGTTCAAGGCCAGCCTCGTCAACAAAGCAAGTTCCAGGACAGCCAGAGCTGTTACACAGAGAAACCCTGTCTCGAAAAACCAATCCATCCATCCATCAATCAATCAACAAAACATTTGCCTTAATCAGTAAGTCAGTTTAGTCTTGCGACTGGAAGGTCACAGTGAAATGGTGGGCACAGATAATTACAGGTATTTTTTCAAAAGATACAGAGAGCCAACATTCTGCCTGCTTGACATCGCAGACAGCACAGCTCCAGGGTGGGGCAGATTTCCTAATGAAACGGAAGGAATGCAATCACAGAGTCTGCATCCAGCTTCTCAGGCTAGCGTTTGTTTCCCAAGATGAAGGTCTGACTCTGGTGTCATCTCCAGAGCATCTCTGTGCTTTCATACTGTGGAGGATTACTATCCTCCCCACTTGGACAAGAGGCTAAGGAAGAAGCACACCTTTAATCCCAGCACTCAGGAGGCAGAGGGCAGAGTGGCCTGGTCTACAGAGCAAGTTCCAGGACAGCCAGGGCTTCACAGAGAAACCCTGTATTGAAAAAAAACAAAAAACAAAAAATTGTTCCTTAAAGAGTGTTAAGATATGTTAAATATTTTTATCTGTGGATATGTATATTATACATATGTATATTATATGTGTGTGTAGCCAAACATATTGCTTCTTTATGGTACACACACATTCATGCATGCACACACAGTATGGCAAGATGGCTCTGAGATCAGCACACTTACTGATCTTGGAGAGGACCCAAGTTCAATTCCCAGCACCCATATCAGGCCACTCATTGTAGCCTGCACCTGGGAATCTGATGCCCTCTTCTGATGCATTCACAGACACAATACCCACATACACATACACATAACTATTCAACATTTGTGCACTATACTATGTATGTTATATCTCAATTTTAAAAAGAAAAATTCATCCTTCAAACAGTTGTTAGAGCCACTGTACATACATTATTATAGATATTGGGTCTTAGGAAGTACTCATGTGCTTTAATACTGTAAAGATGTTAGTTAAGGTAGAAATCATGCAAACATACAAGCTGCATATGAAAAGTTGCTGATGCTTCAGATAGCCTTGTTTCACAACTGAACTGTATGTGCCATTTCAGAAGCAGTAAAAGACTGGTTCCCATAGATGAGAAGGCAAATTATTTTCTGTGGTCCGAAGAATTGAAATCCGATGAGCTGTAATAAGATTCGATTGTAACAGCAAAAACAATTAGAAACAATTTAAAATATCCACCAATATAGGAAAATGGCAAAATGAATTATAAAGCACCCATACAAAAGAGTACCTTAAGCCATTAAAAAGAATAAAGTACGTCCATATGAGCGGGCATAGGAAGATGGCTCATTCATACTGCTTTGTGAGAAAGAGCCACAGAACAGTGCGTGGAGTAGGACCCCGGAGAAAACTTCAGTTAACTATCCGATACGTGTCCTCCTGAAGAGTTAAGGATGTGCTTACATGTGTGAATAACTCTGCATATATTTTGCATACATGAGAACAACTTATACATATCATTTGGTGACTTTTTCACTGAAGGAGCCCGTTTGAAGGCAATGTAAAACTGCCTAGAATGACATTGTGTCTGAGGACTTACCTTTCTGTATGTATGTGAACCAAGACTTGAGGGGAAGGATGCAGCCTTCAGTGCCAAAAATGGTAGATGACGCTTGACTTGAAAATATGAAAACTGGTTTGTAACGTTAAAGAAAAGAGGGACAGAAGCCACCAGGCAGAGGCCACAGCAAATGCAGAGGCCCCGGCGAGAAAGAGCCCGGTGCCCAGGGGAACAGAGGGCCGAGTTGGCTGGAGTGCGCTTCCACGTGATGTGGGACCCTGGATCTCCCTCCGGCTTCAGAGGAAAGCCCGAAGGCTTTCAAACACGTCGTGCATTGTGATGTGTGTAGATTTTGAAAGGTCAGCAGGCATCCTGCCCCATCTGCCGCCTGCCCGGTCCTCGCAGTCCCAAGCTGGCTGGAAGGAAGACCCAACGTGGCCGTGCAGAAGAGAGATGTGGAAGAGGAGCAGGAAGCGGGGTGCCAGAGGCCAGAACTGCAGCGGACTGTCCAAAAGAAGTGTGCCCGGCTGCTGTCCGTTTCTAACAGCCATTTTGGTTCTGTTTGTTTGGGATCTTGAGACAGAATCTCACTATGGGTTGGCTTGGAACTCACTTTGAGGACCAGGCTAGCTTCAAACTTGGGAATCCTCCTGCCTCTGACCCCCAGGTGCTGGAATTACAGGTGTATCCCACCATACCTGGCTAGTAGCCACATTTTTTAAAGAAAAGAAACAAAGTTCATCTTTATATTTTTTATTTAACCCAGTGTGCCCAAGTTGTTATTTCAATGTGTGACCAACCTTAAAATTACTAATATGTTTTAGATCCCCCCCCACCCCCGCACAGGTTAAGCATCCCTAATCCAAAATGTTTTGAGCACTGATATGAAAGACATTTGGGTTTGAACCATTTAGGATTTGGGGGTTACAAATGTTCAATCAAGTGAGATCTATGCAAATATTCCTAAATCTGAAAAACTCTGTAATCTAAACCCCCTGTGGTCCCAAATAACTCAGGTAAGGACCGCTGTCCTCAGCCTTCAAATCTCACGGTACAGTTCAAGCCACACTAGTCACATTCCCAGTGCTCAGTAGCTCCTCCTGACTGGGTAAGGCCAGGGTTTTGCCTTCCCTCGGAAGGACTTTAATATGAACTCTCAACCACATCCGGTTTCCACATCTCATGAGAAACACTCATGTTCCCTGGGCGGAGTGTTTCCTTTTAAGACTGAATCTCAAAAGTCTGATAACCCCTCGTGTCTTCCTGTAAGATAAAAAGACGGCACACGGGAGGGAGACGAGGCACGGTAGGACCGGCGAGATCCACTCTTGACGTGAACTGAGCGGAACAGATGCAGCCTGGTTTGTTTCGCTGCGGCAGGAAGAGCCGACAAGACACGTAGAATGGATGTAAGTGGGAAAGAAGAATTCAGAGTGACCTCCGCCGCTGGGGAGAGGGTTCAGTTGGTAACAAGCTTGCTGTGCAAGCAGGAAGAGCTGAGTTCAAATCAGCAGCACCCATGTAAAAGCTGGGCATGGCTGCCAGCGCCGCGGAATCAGAGACAGGGAATCCTTTGGTCTTGCTAGCCAGCCAGTCTTGGCAATCAGCTTCAGGTTCAGTGAGAGAACTTGCCTCAAAAAATAAGTTAGAGAGCAATTCGGGAAGACAGCCAAACTTGATTGCTGGCCTTACACACACACACACACACACACACACACACACACACACACACACACACACACGTGCGCAACTCTGGCCAGGTGTGGCTCATGCCTGTAATCCCAGCACTCAGGAGGCAGAGACAGGAAGCTGCGTTCAGGTCATCCTTGGTGACAAAGTGAGTTCTAGTCGAGCCTGGCTAAGAGACCCTGTCTCAACAAAACAAAAACAAACAAAAATCAAAAACGGGAAACAAAAAAAAAAATATTTTAATTAAAATGACTTCTAGGTTTTTAACCTGAGCAGCTGGACGCAGAGGCATTTCCTGGGATGGGAAAGATGAAGGTGGCAGGGATGTGTCATGTGTATGAAGATGGAAGGCAAGAATCTCTTCTGGGTGTCGATGGCAGCCAGTACTTGAGTTTAAGACTTACAGTAAGGCTGATGACTCAGCAAAGTATGGTATGGGGAAGGAAAGACAATATCAAAGAATAAAACAGAACCCAGACACAGACTCACCTGAACTGCTTTTTCCTGTTGCCTTGACAACTTGAAGAAGGAAGGGTTTAGGGCCGAAGAGTTGGCTCAGCAGTTAAGAGCACTGGCTGTTCTTCCAAAGGACCAGGGTTCAATTCTCAGCACCCACATGGCAGCTCACAACTGTCTGTAACTCCAGTTCCAGGGGATCCAACACCCTTTTCTGATCTCTAAAGTCATTAGGTGTACATGTGGTGCACAGACAGAAACGTGCTGGCGAAACCCGTACACGTAAAATAAAGATAATTTTCTAATGAAGGAAAGGTTTGTTTTGACTCTCTGTGTGGATGCAGTCCATCATGATGGGGAAGACATGACTACGGGAACTTGAAGGCGGCTCGTCACGGTGCGTTTGCAGTCAGCAATCAGAGGGCAAGGGGCGCTTGTGCTCAGCTCACATTCTCCTGTTTCAGTCTGGGATCTCAGCCCATGGTATAGTGCCTCCCACAGTTAAGATATCTGCTATCCCAGTGTTCCCAGTTCCCCTCCCCACCTTGGGAACTCCCTCACTGACGTGCCCAGAGGTGTCTCCCCTGGACCGTAAATCCTGTCAAGTTGACAACCAATTAACAAGTCAACTGATTTTTGTCTTACAACTACCACAGGACAGCCAGGTGTGGTGGCACATGCCATTAATTCCAGCATACAGGAGGCAGAGGCACGCGGATCTCTGAGTTTGAGGCCAGCCTGGTCTACGTAGTAAGTTCCGGAAGAGCCAGAGCTATGTAATAGGGAAAACTTTGTCTCAAACACAGTTACAGGACTTTTTGACCAATGGTACTAGAATGACTAGACAGGAAAGAAGTAGCTAAACACAGACCTTAAGCCTGTCACAACAATTTACTTAAAATGGATCTCAAAATGCATCATAGACCTAAGTATAAAGTACAAGACCAAGCCGGGCATCAGTGGTGCACGCCTTTGATCCCAGCACTTGGGGGGCAGAGCCAGGCAGATCTCTGTGAGTTCGAGGCCAGCCTG